CACAGAATTACTGAAATACTTCTCCATGGTGTGTTAGTAAAGTCTACCAGAAGGTAGTGGTGCTCCGGGGAAGTAAGTGGCACAGTCATATGGTCTGTTATGGGGAAGTGAAAGTGCCCGAGACCAGCGGCGTAGCCAGAAGTTTTTCAGTGGTGTGCCGCCTCGGTGAGGGGTGGCCTAGGGTCGCTGTGCGTGCATCCGTTATTCTTTATCATAGGGTACTGATATGCTAGCTAGAGTCAAACATTGTGATCAATTGGCACAGACGACAACGTTTTTGCATACTACGATCAATGGCTCATTCTTTCAAATCATATCTAAAAAAACACAATGACACAAATGTCTCTTAATTCTTCACATTTCTAAAAGTTGCTTTTTACTTTGGTTTGTTCCTGCTTGCTTTATGAGCGTGTGGCGCAGGTGATGAGGTCTGCGGGGAAGCTCTCTGCATCGACTGGTCGGCCATTAAATTGACGGTGGTGGAAAGGCTCTGATTAGAGTGCAGAAACACTCATGTCTGCCACTCATGCAATGCTCTGTGTATTGTGTCTGAGTCTGCTGAGTCCATGACTGGCCAGAATGTACTGTAACTTGAAGAGCAGAATTTGGAACCAAAAGCAGCCAAGGGGCAAAGTTCATTCATTCATTTTCCGATCCACTTTATCCTCACAAGGGTCGCAGGGATGCTGGAGCCTATCCCAGCTGTCTTCGGGGACACCCTGAACCGGTTGCCAGCCAGTCGCAGGGCACACAGAGCCAAACAACCATCCGCGATCACACTCACACCTAGGGACAATTTTGAGTGTTCAATCAGCCTGCCATTCATGTTTTTGGAACGTGGGAGGAAACCGGAGTACCCGGAGAAAACCCACACAGGCCCGGGGAGAACAAGCAAACTCCACACAGAGAGGCCGGAGCTGAAATCGAACCCAGTACCTCTGCACTGTGAGATCGACGTGCTAACCACTGAACCACCGGACCGCCCATGGCAAAGTGTATATATAAGTTAAGTGTATATATATATATATATATATATATATATACCCAATTCCAATGAAGTTGGGTTGAACAAAAATAAAAACAGAATACAATGATTTACAAATCATCTTCAACCTATATTTAATTGAATATACTACAAACATAAGATATTAAATTTTTAGACTGCTAAACTTTATTTTGTTCGCAAATAATCTTTAACCTAGAATTTCATAAGTGCAACGCGTTACAAAAAGCTGGGACAGGTGGCAAAAAAGACAGAATAGCGAGGCCGGGGTGGTCAGACCCAACCGCCAGTATGTGCACCGGCTTCGGGCCTGTGTGGCCACTTTATAGCGCTTGTTATTGGCTGTGAGTGCGCACATGTCACGGAGAGAAGGTGGAAGAGCGTAGGTCGTGAAAAAGTCCCACTTGACAGCCAACATGTCATTTGGACTTCGCTCCGTGTGTGGTGTGCACTGAGAACAAACAAGCACACGGCCGGTTGACAGTGACATGCAGCCTATGAGAAAGCGAGGTGACAAGGTGGCGAGGAAGCGCGCTGCAAATCCAAAATCAAAACAGTCATGATACAAAACAGAGTATGTTGGAGGTCGGAGATGGAGGAACATCTTGCTGAAATATGGCAACAGTATGAATGTTTTTATGTTTCACGGTATTTCTGAGGGAGGGAAAAAAAACATCACATGATAACAGATTCAATCCCTGTTCGCACTGTCTCCACCCTTTGGATCAACATCCTCTTTTTTTTGTCACTTTGTTTCTGCTAACAATAATACACAAATGAGCACCACTGTCAAGACACGATCTGATAAAGTTAAATCAAGCTCAACTGCATATGTGGTTGCTGTATTCCCCCAAATTACCGGAGTGAGAGATTTATTTTCTGTAACTCAGAACAGCTATGTTTGTTTGTCTTCCACTAACACTTCCAGTTCCATTACAACGTATTTTGTATTTATGTGCTGTTCCTCAGTGCAGTAAATGATATTGAAATATTAAATGTTATAAAATCATAATTTCTTTTGATGGCGGCGCGGACACCCGCAGTGGCTCCTCTTGTTTTATGTTGAGAGGGAAGAAATTTCATCTGTGCTGTATGTTACACATACAGTACATTTGACAATAAAGTTTATCCAATCCAATCCAATCCAATCACAAAAAAACTGACTGTTTTAACATTGATATGATGTAAATTTAAAAAAATATCTAAAATGTGTAGTACAACTGTTCACATTTATTTATATCCTGTCCTTCAAATGGTATTTTCCCATTTAATATGAAAAGAGCAAATGTTATTCCAGTATATAGAAAAGTGAAGATATACATCTGTTTACAAATTACAGACCAATATACTGGCACAGTTCTCGAAAATTCAAGAACAACTCCTATCACAAAAACTTGACAACTTGATTGAGAAGCCCAACAACTGGTATGGTTTTAGAGAAAGAAAGATCAATTTTCTGGAAGAAATTTGCCACTAGTTTAACAAAAAATAATCAACACTTTTATAGAAGCTACAGTTTGGATTTTCATAGACTTACAAAAAACATTTTGACACTACAGATCAAAATATTAATGGAAAAATTAGAGATGTGGTAGAATAGGTTTCGCAGATAAACGGATAAAAAGTGAGCTACTTTAGATGACAGAAATCAATATGTGCAGTTAAACAATGTAAAATCAAGTTGAAGATAATTCATGGGGTTCCCCAAGTGTTTTAAAACATTTCTGATACCTCGCCCTGGCTCAGTATCAAATTTAGAATAGGTTCGTTGGAGATAGGCACTCAGAAATGAAACACAAGAGACAAATCTGCTACTAACAAATTGCACGTTTATTAGCGCCACAGAATATGTCACACAATCATTCAATAGCACAAGAGACAAATCTGCTACTAACAAATTGCACGTTTATTAGCGCCACAGAATATGTCAAACAAGCAAATATCAGTGTATCAAGCTCTTAGAATAGTATCCAGCCCTCACCGTGCGTCAATAGGATGGAGAGCCAACACCCCAGGTAGAGCGAGCTTCAATACCAGCTGGGCGTCCGTACGCAACCCTTAGCAGACTCTGGACTCTGCGAACTCCCGACTCTAGACTCTACTGACTCTGGACTCTACTCTCTGCTAACTCTAGGCTCTACTCCGAGTATCCGAAGCTCTCCTTTTATAGTCTAAGCGTGCCTGACGCCACGCCATGACATTGCTCATCATCATAAACATCATATGACATTGCTGTTTTATAGTCTAAGCGTGCCTGACGCCACGCCATCTTTGTTCTTGACAAATGACATTGCTCATCATCATAAACATCATATGACATTGCTGTTTATACAAAGATTGTGACATCGCCGATTATATTGCGACATCGCTGGTTACAAAGCTATTACGAGTTATTGCGACATCGTTGGTTATATAGCCATCTTTAAACATGGAAAAACAACACAATATAATTATTCTTACTTCACCAAGGATATACGGGCGGCCCGGTGGTCGACTGGTTAGCACGTCGGCCTCACAGTGCAGAAGTGCAGTGTTCGATTCCATCCTGCGTGGAGTTTGCATGTTCTCCCCGTGCCTGTGTGGGTTTTATCTGGGTATTCCAGTTTCCTCCCACATTTAAAAAAAAACATGCATGGCAGGTCAATGGGACACTCTAAATTGTCCCTAAATGATAAAAGCTATCAGGAATAAAGATCAGAAATGTTAGGAGAGAAAAAGAATGTTTGATTTACACTTAAGGTTTAATTTTCTTTGCCTCTGATGTATTAATAGCACAGAGAGCAGCTTTGTAAACCAGCTTGAGTCAGACACAGTCGTGTATATTACACCATTTAGTGTTTGTGATTGAGAAGCAATATACTGTAAAAGATTTGGGCTTTTGATGCACTTGTAGATTCTCTCCTGAGAGCCAGAATGCCACATTTCATCCAAATAAGATGTTTTTTTTCTTTGGCTGTGTAAGTTTTGTTTTAAATAAAAGACTCCGTCATCTGTCAAAACAAATCGCTGATGCACGTCGTCAGCTGAGTACATGTGTGAACATGTTATACATCTTTTAAAAGCTGAGTTTCTGGAGATTTGAATGGTGCCCAACATTGTACAATTGTCAAATCTGAACTGGAACTTGGGAGACCTCAAGCTTTGATCCTGTAGTGTTTTCAAGTCCTAATCAACATTCTGAATTCATTTTCAAGGCAGATTTTGTGAAAAGAAATTCGACGAACATAAGATTCACCTTTTTTTCTGTTTTCAAACATCCATAGTTCAGTGACAGGAGCACTTACACAGATTCCGACTATTTGGGAGAATATTTCATAAAGATACCAAAACTATGCTGATACTCCAAATGGTTCATTAACAGCTACAAATTTACTTTGGGTGCACCTTTTTTCAGGCGTTTTCGGCAAAGTTGCCCTCAGCCTAAGGGGTTAACCCTGTGAGGGACAGCGGCTACTACAGTGGACAGAATATCATGTTATCAGGTTACAGGGTACAGAGGTCGTGGGTTCGATCCCGGCTCCGGCCTTCCTGTGTGGAGTTTCCATGTTCTCCAGAATTTTGTGGGTTTTCTCCGGGTACACCGGTTTCCTCCCACATTCCAAAAACATGCATGTTAGGAATTGTCCCTAGGTGTGAGTGTGAGCATGGTATTGTTGTTCGTCTCTGTGTGCCCTGTGATTGGCTGGCAACCGGTCCAGCCCGCCAACTGCCCGAAGACAGCTGGGATAGGCTCCAGTACCCCCGCGACCCTTGTGAGGATGAAGCGGTTCAGAAAATGGATGGATGGATGGATGGAAGGTTACAGGGTGCAAGAAAAGGGTTAACATAGGATGCTGCGACGATGCTTGCGGTTTGTCAAGGCGATCCTCATGTATGTCCATGTGAAACAGTCAATGATTTATTTGAAATGGTCATTGCTATAGCAACTACACAGCTACTCGGTTGACCCTTTTGTGAAATGTGGACCATTTGATTGAAAAAGATATGCTTTTTCCAGGCTCTTCCAGGTAACAGCAATGCTGACACTGTGGTGCAGTACAAACTTGAACAGACGGTGGTAACTCGCTATCTCCGCCTTATCCCTGTGGCCTGGAACCCAAATGGGAGGATTGGACTTCGACTAGAAATATACGGATGTCACTATGGTCAGTAGTCTTGTCTGATCAAAATTCAGTTTTATGCAGAAATCAATCCCTGAAAAGAATATGGATTTTTGTTTTACTGATTTGAGCTAAATTAGACTCTTATCACAGTGCACTAACTACACCATATTCCTTTTTTTTTTTTCAAAAGGTTACAAAATCTTGAACGACGAGTGCACTTGATATCTACATTTCATGACATGTTGACGTAATACTCTTTTAGAATGACAAAGAAGTAAATAAATGGGTATGTAGTGTAAGGGAGATGTTATTTGAAGCGGGGGTGGGTGGGGAAGAAGATATTAGAATTGGCGTAGGTTCACTCGGAGCTTCTCAGGACCTCAAAGAATGAGACTCTTAAAGTTTCAGTTTGACTTAGCTGATGGAAGATGTCAAACTGATGAGCTGTAAATGCAAAAAGGGCAATTTAAGGGTTAAGAATTGGCAACAATGAAACTTGAAGTGTATCTGTTTTTCAAGGTCTCAACTATTGATGAAAATAATGTGAAAATAATTTACAATCATCAATCACTTGATCGAATTTCCCTTGTGCGGTCTGTGAGACAAGAACTTCTCTCCCCTGGATCTTGAATGGTTAACATTTGAACTTTTCAGACTACTCTATTGTTGTTGCTCCTTCAGTAAAAGTTTTCAGGTCCAATGCTATATGGAAACACTTTATATGAGGATCCAAAGGATTTTTTAATGATCATCTTGTGTGTTTCCATATTTTTTTTGTGTGCCAAGTATTGTATTGATGTTGCTCTTTGTTTGAACTCTGTAGCATCTGATGTAGCAAACTTTGATGGCAGCAGCAGTGTGCTATACAGGCTGAGTGCTCGGTCGAGCCCGATGGCCATTTCTCTGAATTTGAAAACTCCAAAGAATTCTGGAATCCTGCTCCATGCTGAGGGAACGGGAGATCACAGCATCACTCTGGCTTTGGAAAAAGGGAAGCTGCTTCTCTTTCACCAACGAGGTACATTCCTCTCCTCAAGAAACAAAATTTGTAGCTTTGTCTTTCATTCTAATTTGAACACAAAATTAACAAGAATCACGTGTATTTTAATTGGGCAGGATGTACTGCATACTATTGCACACATTATCTACGTAAAAAAAAAAAAACATTATCAAAGTAAAACATTGATATTCATTTATTACAGTAGTCTTAGGATTCCCAAGGGTCAATTGATGCGCTCTCTAACGCGAACAATGAGTGTCCATGCATTCAAATTGAGCCCGAGTAGATCTGCATTTTCCCTCAAACAAGTCTTTTTTTAATGCATTTTTGCGTTGTGGTCGTGAATATTAAAATGTTGTACAATGAGGAAGATACAGTTCTTGAGAATAAATGTCCAGCTTGATGCGGCAGAGCTCATAAATTAAGTAAATAATTGTAAAAGATAAACAACAGAAATTTGTCATTGTTCAAATACTCCTTTGGGGTTTTAGTTATTTATACAACATCTAAACTGTCTGTACGTATAATAGGGGTGTTCACATGGCAACTTTTACTGCGGTGTAGCGCCGATGCTGCCCGCAGTAGAGCGTTCACACGTACAAAGTTATACCGGTGTAGCCCCTGAAAACAGCTTAAACCAGAGCAAATTTAATCCTGCTCAGGAGGTGGTTTAAAAATTTACCCCGGAGTAAATGCAAGTTTGAGAGGCAGCACCGATATAAAATGGGACGTGTGAACGCTACAGGAGTAGACTCGCTACGCATGAGAAGCGTTGATTACCAGTGATGTGTTCCTCCTCGAGCCGGTCCTTGGCCTCGAGGACCGGCACGAGGACCAAAGGTTGGTCCTTGGTCCTTGGCCTTGGGAGTCAAGTCCTTGGCCTTGGCCTTGGGAGTCAAGTCCTTGGCCTTGGCCTCGGGTTGCCGGTCCTCGGACACAATGAGGGATTAGAGCCTCGAATCCCTTGTCCAGAGGTATAAAGTGGGTCCGAGGACCGCAAAAATCACGAAGGAATCAAATAAATTCCATCCAGGGAAACCCATATTGATGGATTAAGCTGGCGCTTTAAAAGGGGCGGGTCTACCACTGACGGGTGACAGTTAGCGCAACGTATAAAGAGCGGCATCACAGTTAGTTTCAATCACCGTTTGTTTCGTTCGCGATCGGCAGTTTAAATAGCGTGTAAAGTCTTTCTGTAACAGTGGTGTCTTTTATGTAGTTATTTTTGCACAGTCGTCACGTTTGTGCGGTGGCACTAGAATGTTTGTTTGAACCAAGTAATTTGCGTTACAGCTGGAGTCAATAATGCCGGCACTTCACTTTCGGGTTTGGCCGTTGGGATTTGGAGTCCTTTTGCTCGATTCCAGTTATGTTTTTGGTGAATGCTTTCTCATGTTTGGAATAATGAATATTGATAATACATAGTTTAAAATCATGGTTGATTTAATTATTTTTTATTATTATTGTGAAGTTGAAGGTATTAAATTAATTAATGTAGTATTAGTGGGAGTGGTAATAATAGTCGTACTCAGAGAATGTTTAGAGATCAGCCATC